AGTGTGATTTTCTGTCTTGCGGTGACGATATTTTAGTGACTAGCTCTCCAGGACCTTTCATTTCTCAAAGTGGATACATATGTCCGTCCGCTTGCAGATGGAGGCACTTTTCCAGTAATATCGCCCGCTTAACCTTACTGTCGTGAACTCCTGTCCTCCGTTTATATCGTGGGCCATCGCCTTGAGGTCTGTAAAGTGGTCCCTACACCCCAACAGCGTCAAAATTTTTGGCGCTTCAGACATCCAGCTAAATACTGTGTGGCGGAGTACCCAGTCTGTGATGCCTTGGATCATGCTGATACATCTTGCAGTCTAACCCCCCCCCTATTTGTCTTAATTTCAATGAAACTCACTAAGGTCTATCTTAATGAACATGAAATATGTTGCCTTATGAAGAGCAAAGGCCTTATGCTATGGCTGTCTCACAGGGAAATCTTCCCCGGGTTCCTTATTTTCGAGTAGCTAGGAGACCTCCAACCTTGGTGGTATCCCCTGCCTACCAGCTCCTCCGGTGCCGTGTTTTCCGGGGTCACCCCCGTATCTAATTCTTTTGCATTTTTACCCTCTGAAACCCCCCACCTCCTTACCTGTTCCTACCTCTACTTCTCGCCAGCTAGTTTCTCAGTCTGCAAGGCCTGTCATGCCTGCACCTTCATTGCGCTTGTCACCTGCGAAGTTTACCCTGTTTAATATGCCCTAGTCTCTTCGCATTCCTGCGGTGCTTAGAATTCCCCAACAATTTTCCTTTTTCGGCCTTGGTGCCTAGTTCTCACCCCATTTCCAACTCTCACACGAAGGTGGAGGATCACCCCCCCCCCTCGTGTGGTCCCCTATTCTCCTGTTCGCCCCCCCCCCAGAATTCTTCCCCAGTCACCTTCCAGCCTCTTTCCTGTTCCACCGCAGGACTCTTTTATCCCCGCCGGCACACATCTCCAAGTTCATACTTCCCTTACCTCTCAGACCTCTTCGGTTCCCTCCATAGTCTCCCCAATCTCTTTCTCTACCTTGCCTGTCTCTGAAGTCATGGTATCGACATTTTCCTTGTCCGCTGAGACACTTTACACTACTTTGACTATATTACAGAGACGAAACCCTCAATGGACACCGGTAAGCCTCCTTCTGCCCCTTCTTATTTTTCACAACCCTCGCAGCAATCTATGCCTTCACAGCATTGCGATTCCTCCTTGCTTACATGCTTTCTGTTGCCTCCACATATTTTCACTGACCCTACTAGCCCATAGATTTTATCGCTTCTTTTTGCTGGCATACCTGCCTCTGCGAATAATAATTTATTTACGATGGAATATTCGTGGTCTCAAAGGTAATCGGGGAGAGCTCCAGGTGTTGCTCTCCCAGTTTTCCCCAGGGTGTGTGTCGGGTTACAAGAGCCCAAAATTCGTTTCTGTTATTCTTCCCGTATCGGGATATGTGCTGTTGCATTTTTCTGATCCCTTTCATAGTGAATCATTTAATGAGAAAACGATTTTTGTGCGCGTTGATATACTGTATCAACAGGTTTGTTCGTTCTCTGTTGCATTATACTGCAGTCCGTATTTATTCGCACAGACGGTATACGGTTTACTCTCTATATCTCTCCCCTTCCCGTGCATTCTGTATCTCGGATATTGCATTCTTGATCTCTGCTGCCGCCCATCTTAGGTGATTTTTAACGCCCACCATCATCTTTGGGGAGGATCCCACTGTGATTCTCGTGATGGTCAGTTTGAGACTCTTCTTACTTCCCACCCTCTTCATGTTTTAAACACGGGTGCTCCCACCTATTTTGACTCGCACTCTCTTGAATTGATCTTTTACCTCCTCATCAATTGCACTTGATTACGTTTGGACTGTTCTCCCTGATTTGCATGGCAGTACAAATACTACGTATTCCCGACCGCCTCGTAGCCCCTGTTGGCAATTTGGACAAGCAAATTGGGACTTGTACTCTCATCTTACCGCTTTCTGTAGATACCCTTCTTCGTCCTCTTTTGATGAGCTGGTACACCAGTTTTTGACCTTAGTTTCGACTGCAGCTTCACGTTCTATTCCTCAAACCTCAGACATGCGTGCCTTGGTGGTCTCCTGCGTGTGCCCATGCAGTGTGTTTGGAACGTTCTGCCGTTGGGGCACGTAAATACGATATAATCCGGCCTCGTCTTTGGGATTTGAACAAGAAAAATGGGCAGTTGTCCCTCTCACGCTAAACCTACTTCTGTAAGTCTTCCATTCTCGTCCTCTTTTTGTGAGCGGTTTCAAAAAGTGTTTTGGACATTAGTTTGACCAGCTCCGTTTCTATTCTTCAAACCTCACATGCGTTCCTTGTGTCCCTGCGTGTGCCCATGCATGTTTTAAAACGAATGCTGCGATGGGGCCGTTATCGCAAAATCGGACCTCAAATCGTTTTGAGGGTTAAAACGGACAAAGGCAGTTGTTCTCGCGTCCATACGCGACGAACTATTATTGTAAGTTATTTTGGGTTTCATACCTCAGCTTCCGATGT